GTTTCCTCATTGGTAGGAAACAGATAAAAATAGCTCTCTGAGGCAATGTGGTGGGAATTAAAGAAGAGAAGTGGGTAAAATGCCCACAGAAAGCTAATGCTCAATAGATGACAGTGAGCCCCGCGTGGGGCAGACAAATGAGACTTCAGTCTGTGACAGTCTTTTAAAATCAACCAGTGCCTCTGACCCACCCCAGGGGGCAACCCAGGGCCCGGCAGCCTCAGAGTGGTCAGCCTGGGAGGCTGGAACCTTGAAAAAGTAGCTCTGTCTGCAAGCAGAGGAGGTGGGCAGAAATTCTAGCAAGTGCTAATTAGGTCCGAGAAGCTACCAGAGGAACCGGGGGGGGGGGGGGGGTAGGGGTGGCTCTAACAGTCATCCAGAGGGGGGGGGGGGGAGTGTCTGATTAATCACTGGCCTGCTCTGCAGGGGGCTGCACACCGGGGCTACCTGCCACGTTCCCTCCTTCTCAGAGCTGGCAGCCTCAGCCAGGAGGCCAGGCGGTTCTGGGACAGGACAGCCGAGGGTGAGCCTCACAAACATCTGGTCCCAGCTCCCCGCCTAATGTGTGTAACAGACCCACTACCTAATTGCATGGTTGGGGAGCAGGCTTCACATCTTTAGCACTTAATTCACTATTGTTTCTTTGGAAGCCCCAATCCTGTGCCTGGGGAGGGAGGGCTTTGCCTGTTTATGGGGCTTTCAAGCCCCGGGCATCCCAGCCCCGTCTTGTTAGGCTCCAGCTGCACAGACATCAAGGAGGGCATCTCCACCACCCCCCAACTTCCTGCACTCAGCTTGGGGCTTTACTGCCTCCCGCTGCCCAGGCTCACCTGGTTTGGCAGGAACAGCCCCAGACACAGCCTCTCCTGGTCCTCATGTCCTCCCCACCCACCCAGGAGGGGCATTTTATTTCTCTTGTCCCAAGTTTTGGGGCTTTATTGCCCTCTCCACTCCCAACAAAGGGATGAAGAGAAACAGTGGGGAAAGGGAAAGTGGGACCAGGGAAGCCTGGGTTCGAATCTCATCTCTGTCACTTTCTACCATGGGACCTGGGGCCAATTGCGTTCTTCTATGTGCCTCAGTTTCCCCATCTACAGAATGGGCCTCCTAACACTTATCTTGCCAAGTTCTTGTACCAGTCAAATGAGATCATGGTAATAGCTAGGGTACCAAGAGCTCACTCTGCACCAGGAGCTATCCCGAACAGGATGTGTGTGTATACAGCTATGATCAATGATCATAAGGGTCTGTCTAGAGTAGGTGCCCGATAAACATCACTTCCCTGTCCTATGCCAGTGGTCAGGGAATGGGTGACCATGGAGGAAGGAGACTGAATCCAAACAATGCCCAAAGGTGGGGCAGGTAGGTAGAGCGAGCACCCTCATCATCAAACCCATTTCTTTCCCTTTGGGGGACCAGTCCCATTATTCTGACCCCTTAAAATGCTAGGGTAAGGCTCCATCTTTACTCACTTCTGGCACTTGGTCACATGGTACTACTATGGGGATGAAGAGCAGATGGGTAGGGTCTGGGACCAAGAAACCTCAGCCCTCTCCTCCCTGCCCTCTGCTTCCTTGGATCAAGAAGCAAATTTGGGAAGGATGCTAAGAGGGACCTGGCTGGCCACCATCCTGGCCCCTGAACTCCCTAGAAGAGCCCTGACTCATCTCCCTTTGCCATACTCCAGTGTGTTTATTAATCACTGTCATCACTATTCATTGGTCATCTAATGGGCTCTGTCGTTAACTCGCTGGGTGCCCCGGAGCAGGTCGCTCTCTCTGTCTGGGTTGTGATTGCTTCCTCTCTAAAGTGATGAGGTTGAAGGGAAATGGAGAGAAGACTGAGGGTAAAACACCTGCCTGGGTGCCTTCCAGCTCTTCCTGGGCAGGAAGTATCCCCAGTGATTTGCTCGGCTATCTCTTTTGAACATTACATCAGTGACCTGCAAGGTGAAAACAACTGGATTCATGAGGGATACTGCTCAAGGTCACATAGCTACCAAAGCAGCCAAGCTGAAAATAAACTCAGGTGCCTTAGGTCCCAGATCCCTGTACCCTCTGTGACACTGACATCCTGGAAAGGGTCCAGGAGGGTAGGAGAAGAGCTGTCATCAGGGACGTGGGAATGTGTTCTCTGTCTCCTTCTTCCAGTGGGTTGAGGGATGATGGACACCAAGACAGGATAGGGAGGGCCGGGGGTGGGAGAGACTGAAACCCTGGACGGGTGCCAAGAACTCCAAGCTGTAGGGATCAGCCAGACCTGGGCTCAAATCCCAGTGCTTTTATTGACTAGCTGTGTGACCTCAGGCGAGTGACTCCACTTCTCTGAGCCTGCTCTATAAAGTAAGGCTAAAGATGCCCACCCCAAAGACTGCTGGGTAGATTCAATAAGATTGTTCTTGGTACATAATAGGTGCTCTAAAAGTTTTTTCCCTACTCAGCTGGACTGTGGAAACACTCACTTGGCTCCTCCGTGAAGTGAGCATCCTAAGACATCATCCGTGGGTGGGAAATCTTCCCGCCAGTCCACTGTGCCTATCAGTAACATATTTCCCATTGTCCAGGAACTATCCAGGAAGCCTGTCTAGAGTAAACAGAAGCTGGGCCTGCATCTTCCAAAGACAGGGAGTCTCCAGAGGGGCAAGAAAAGAGAATAAACGCCGGCCTCATTGCTCCGTGAGATGGAGCAAAGGTGCTGCGTGTGGGAGGCGCCCGCGGCCTGTGAGGGGGTGCGCAGAGCCAGCAGCCCAGGGCAGTGGTGAGAGCCCAGCTTACAGCATCGGGCGGTCCCAGGCTGGAAACTGCCATCCTTCTCCACACGGTAGCCAGAGCAGTCCCTTTACAGTGTAAGGTATATCACATGTGGCTCTCCGTCTCACTCCCCAAGCGGTGGTCTGGCCCCCTTCAAAACTCTGCCTCCTCCCCTATTCACTATGCTCCACCCTCCAGGCCCTCCTTTATTCTGTGACAGGCCTCCGGGCCTTAGCACTCTGTTCCCTCTGTCCAGAACGCTCTTCCCCCGTGTCTGCCTGTGCCCTCCACTCCAGAGGCCTTCCCTGAGCACTCTGTCTAAAATAGCAGCCCCATCCCTCTCTATCCCTTCATCCTATTTTATTTCTCCCTATTTTATGATTTATCACTATCTGACATATATTCTATTTGGTTTATTGATTTTCCCCAATGGAATGTAAGCTCCATGAGGGCAGGGGCTCTGCTCAGTTCACTGCTGTATCTCTAGCCTCTGGAAGAGCATCCAGCACAGAGTAAACTAAACACATATTATTGGATGAATAAATAAATGATTGATTGAATTCTGACTCCACGGTTTTCTAGCTTGAATTGCTTTGGGCACGTCATTTCACATCTCTGAAACCTTCAGTGCAGAAGACAGGGCACACCCTTCTCCTAGGGTTATTGTTGAAATTAAATGACAGAGTGTGAAAGGAACTGACACAGAGTAGGTGCTCAGTAAATGACAACCACCATCACAATTACTATCCCCGGGGGTCTCAGGCTCAGTCGCCCACTCATTGAGGCCTTGGACACATTGATGGTCTGTCTGAGCCTCAGTCAAGTGTACCGATGTCCCACGCCAGGATGTGTAGTGAGGCCCAGGCAGGCCCTGTAAAGTCCCCAGCAGGCCGTCTGAAACACAGGAGGGCCTCACCAAGTGGCAGCTACTGCCACCCTGGGGAGTGTAAGATTTGGACACCGGCCCCAGCTTTCTTATTCTGTGATCTTGGGGAAGCTGCTAAATGTTTCTGAGCCTCAGTCTCCTCCATCTATAAAATGGGAATAATGACAGTATCTTCCTCACAGGTTGTCCTGAGGTCACAATGAGATCGTGCACCTGAAAGAGCTTCACAAAGCCCTGAGCAAATGTGTCGGGACACACGGGATGGGGCCCAGGGATGGAGAGAGACCCTCATCATGCAGGGAGGAAGGACAGAACCAAGAGTTGTGCTTGGCCGGAGCTCGGAGGTGGGTTGCAGAGAGAGCACACAGGTCAGAAGCCAAGCCCCGGCCCAGCCAGAGAAGGTTCTCCTGCCCCGCTCTTTCCTTCCTCTCTGTAGGGCCTCCCTGGGGACTTCTCCTGGCCAGTCTTGGCAGGAGGTGATTTCAAGGGAGGCAGGTGACAGCAGCAGGACCCCACAGGAGGCATCCTCCTCTTCAGTCAACCTCCTGCCCAATCTGCTTCTCACCCCAAGACTAAGCCGGCCTCTCCCCTACATCCTGGCCAGGCCCGGGGGAAGACCTGGAAGAAAGGGCCCCTGGAAGTTAAAGAGGCGGACAGACTCCTTGCACTCCTGCCCATGAGAGTCTAAGGAGAGAAACACCAGGTCTCTCCCTGACCTGGGCCCTCTGACTCCTCTACCACCAGACACAGAAGGGGACCCAGTGCCGCCTTGCTCAGCCTGTGCCTGGCAAAACCCAGATGCGGTTTCCGCAAACGACTCAAGCAATAATCCCGAGACCATAAGCTCCATGCAGCATGATTTTGCGTTTGTTTCGTTCTTTGATGAATTTCCATTACCTGAAACAGTGCCTGGCACTTAGCGAAGTGCTTAATAAATATTTGTTGAATGAGGGGTTCCATCAGTAAATGAATGAACGAAGCAATGAATCAGCGACTAAGTGAAGTTCCCTGGAGGCTGGCGTGTTTTTGGTGTGTTTTTTGATAAATACCCGGTGCATGGAAGAACATAGGAGATGGCGAGCAAATGTTTGTGAACGTATATGCCTGAATCAGTCATCCAATGACTCATGGGAATGTAATCTTTCTGAAGGCAAGGATGTCTGGAAGCTAAGATCCCTAGGTCTAAAGCTGCGTTCTCAGTGCCTAGAGCAGTGCGTGGAGCAGGCGCGGTGGTGTCAATCAGTGAACGAACGAACGAGCGAGGCCCCAGCTCTCAGAACCAAGAGCGCAGACCACCAAGAATGAAACACAAAGGGGCCCGCCCTGCCTGAGCCCCGCCCCCCCACCACCACTCACCTCATGGTTTTTTTAAATAATTTGTCGATTGTTTTTAATTGTTGAGGCAGTAATACTTGGTTCATGAAACTGCAATATACAGAGAGGTGAAATAAATAGCTTATATATATATAATATATATAATATAGCTGGTTTTAAAATATTCCCTTATCATTGGTGTACTAGGTCACGTGAGTCACGGAAGGTCGATAGCAGCATCCTCCAGAACTGCGAGCAATGCAGGGTCACTTGATTGGACGAGGCCGTCTGTCGTCGGAAGTCGAGGCGCCGAGAATTCCGAGGGGCACGCCTTCCCTGCGCGGTGTCTCGGGACAGCTTGCAGCGGACAATAAATAAATGACTGCAAACCAGAGAGCGATTTTTGTTGGAGTCTGGGGCAGGGATAGGGGGTTGGGAAAGGGGGAGTCTGGGGATAGGTACTACTTTCTCTTTGTTTTTCTTTTTTTTTTTCTTTTTCTTTTTTTTTTTTTTTTCTTTCAGAACCTTTGGGAAAAAGGACTTTGGTTTCTCAGAGTGTCGTTTTCCTCCTTCAAATCCTCCTCTGGGGACGAGATTAGAGTTGTCTGTTCCTAGAGAGAGACAAGCACCTGTACGCTGACAACAGTCCCTTTTTGTGAGTCTTTTGTCAGAGACAGGGGGTTTCAAGTCAACAATAAAATCCTTATCGCTTCCCCCCCCCCAAGAGTTTTGGTTCAGTTTTTGTCTTCTTTTAAACACAATGTACAAAAATAGAGCTTCTTCCTAATTTTTCATGTAAAAATATTCCTCTGATGCAGTTCTCTGTGAGTGTGAGTGTGGGCCTGGGGGCAGCCTGGGGGGCTGCGGTGGGGCCAGCCTAGCCGGGGTGCGTGGGGCGGATCCGCCGGGACCTCTTGGTCACCGTGGTGTACTTGAAGGGTTTCTGCAGCTCTGCCTGTCCCTTGGGGTAGCGCTTCATGAAGTGCACGTCCTGCTGGTTCTCCCGGGTCTTGGGACCCTTCCGCGGCCGCCCCTTCTTGGTGAAGCCCACGTACCAGCCAGAGTACTTGGCGGACATCAGGGCTGTGTAGTTGTTCTCCAGGACCTTCTCAATGAACACACACTCCTTGCTGGTGCCATCGGGCTGTAGGAGGCAAGAAAAGGAGGAGGTGAGAAGGGGAGGGTGGGTGTGAGGGGCAGAGCTACGTGGACAGGGTGTGCGTAGGTGGCGGAGGCTTGGGGCAGTAGAGTAGAGGGCCCGACCCAAGTTTTGTCCCCAGTAATTTCACTTCCTGGATCTGTGCAGTGGACTTGTCATATTGGCCCCTGCCTCCTTCCCTACCCGCCAATTAGGTAATTGATTCCCACCGTCATTCAGGAATCTATCCCTTCCCCACTCAGTATGCTATAGCCAGGGGCTTCCGCTTCAACTCCACTAGAACACGAAACCCAGACCTGGCCAATGAAACATTATTTCCTGTGACTGCTGCAGAGCTCGGCACGTGGCCTGAGCCATCCAATCAGAGTGCTCCTCAAGACCCTTGTATAATCCCCCAAAACATAGGCTGATTTAAACTTGAGGAACACGTAAGGCTGAAGCAAAGGCAGGCATTTTACCACAATGAGGAGAAACACTGTCCGACAATAAGGCCAACACAGAGGAAGTAAAGCCAAGAGGAAGGGAATGAGAGAAACCAAGTTCTGGTCACAGCCTTTGGGCTCGGGACCAAACAGAATCTGAAGCTCATTACCTCATTTCCTTTAAAGTAGTTGAGATTATTTTCTATCACCTGCAACAGAAAGGAGTCCCTGCAGGCGTGCACAAAACCTCATGTGAAGTCAGCTACGCCACTGCCACTCCACTGCAATACAGTTACGTTTAAATCACATTTAATGTGGGGTATGGTGCATTTTAAATGTTTGGTGTGAAGAGGGGTGGGGACCTCCAAGAATAAAGAGTTTTTGCATGGCCAAACTCCAAAGCCTATGCCTTTGGTTCTGAGACTTCAGGCTCCCCAGCAGATGTGTGAACTCCCTAGGAGACGAAGGATGCCGGGCAAGGAGTACTAGATTTGGAGTCAGAAGCTGAATCAACTCTAACACTTCCTTATGTGACCTCAGGCTAGTTAATTCCACTCTCTAGACGTCGGATTCCTCGTCTGACCAAACCGGGACAGTGACCCCGGCGTCACAGAAATGTCGTAAGGAATGATACTTCTACTTGAGCCCCATACACAGTAGGAAATTGCTAAATTATTTCCGAAGAGCAGGTGGTTCAGATGGCTCTGGCCTCCCTCCCTGGATCAGAGCTGGACAAAGGATGGTGGGAGGCAGGGCTCTGAATCTCTCCTCCCTGAGACAGCCGAATTGCTCCATGTAGAAGAGTGAGAAGCACACAAAGCTGGAAGGCCTGAATTAGCAGCACTCGAGTTTCCAACTAACATCTCCAGATTTAGGCTGGGCCCACTCCTCGTTACGGACGGATGCCCAGCCAAGTTGGAAGCCCAGCGGTCTGGCTGTGCGTGGTGCCTGAGGTGCGAGCTCCAGCCTTTTGTTTGAAGTGGAAAACAGGCTGGAGCTTCCAGGAACGTTCACCTTTGAGTGGAGGGCAAGCTTGGGCCCTGCAGACAAAGTGCTGAACTTTGCAGAAAGGGACAGACAGGGTAAGAAAACATTCTCTGGAGGCCGAGATCTTTCGAGGAGGCTACAGAACAGGCAGCGGGTGGGACTGGGAGGCATGTGGGACCCAGAGGGCAGTGTCTGGCAGGGGCTGAGCCGTGAGGGACTCTTGTGAGGGAAGTGGGACATATGTACAAGGCAGGTAGAGGGCAGTGGTCTCTGGGCCCCCCCATGGATTATTCTGGAAGCTGCCTATCCAATCTAAGTCCAGGTCCCTTGGTCATTCTCGATGGAACAGTCACAGCAAACTGAACAAAGCCTACACCATGCTGCTCCCCACCATAGAATACCTGCCACTACCTGGAAAACTGCTTTCATCCTTCAAGGTCAAGCTCAGTAACCACCTCCTCCAGGAAGCTTTCCTTCACTGCCATCCAGCTCCCTCTTCTTCATTTAAGACTCCATTCAAGCATCAGGTTTTATTGGACTCACATACTCCATCTTCTCCCCCTTGGCACCCATTCCTCCTCCCACCCCCCAACAGAGCAATCCTATACCTCCCTGCCTCCTCATTAGCCCAAGAGCCTCAGGAGGTCAGGACCACCTGTCAGTTGCCCTAATGGCTCAGCAGAGGTCTCGGGCACCCAGAGCATTTGTGGTTGAATAAAGGAGAGTTCTGGGATAGAAATGCTGGCAGGGACCCCTCAAAAGGCTTTCTTCTAAAAGAAAGTGGATGTTGCCCTCTGGATCCCTCACCAGTGTCCCAGAGACTGTCGTGAGCTAGGGGAGGCCCTCCTGGGGGTGTGCTGAGAAAGGGATCCAGCACGTAGAGGACCAGAGCTCCCGGCCTGGCCCACTTAGGCTCCCTACTCCTTCATTCACTCGCTCATTCAGCATTTCCTGCTTGTCAATTATAGGCCCGACATCTCCACGTGCATTATTACATTTAATCCTCTGAACTTGCTCAGGTAGACTCTCCCTGCTAGAAGAAAACAGAGTTCAAAGAGGGCAAAACGGCTTGCCCAAGGTCACGGGACTTGTAAGACGCAGAGCCAGGTTTTTACCTGCATTTGCCACTGCAGCTCCTTTCTCCTCTGTCCAGTTCCAGAGAGGTCCATGAGGAGAAAGAGTGTGGAAGAGAGGGCAGGGCACTGTCTGTCAAAACTACCTCCCCTCCCCAGCCCCACACGGCCGCCATCAGCATGAAGCAAGGTCTCAGACATGCAAGGAGCAAGCAGAGTGCCTGGCACTGTGTTTGTATGTGTCCAGGTGTACTTACGAGGGCTAAAATTCCCAGCACCCCAGAGCTCGGGAGCCCCTTGGGAGGATCCATGGTACCCGTGATGGTCACAGGACACCACCACCCCCACCTCGCCCATGAGCTCAGACACAGCAGATCTGAAGCTACTGGCAGACCACACCTGGCCCTTGACCCTCACCTCTGTTCCTGACTACCTCTATGACCCTGCTTATTGCCTGCAAAGATTAAAAGAAAAACACCTGTGCTTGGGCCTCACCCCCAAAAATGTTGACGCAATGGGTTCGGGCAAGGCAGATCATCAGTATTTAAGAGTGAGTGAATATCCCATCGCAGAACTTTGGTGATTAAGTAGAATTTGAGCATCTCTCCCCCACCCCCATCCCCACCACCAACCTCCAATCTCCTCCTTTCCAAACTGGAGTCCTATTCCTTCTATTTGATCTGAAGACTGAATCCTGATGACATCATTTGGCCCCTAGATCCCGTCTTACTTGAAACTAGAACTACCCCCTGGACATTTGTAGTTATGTGAGCCAAAAAATTCCTTTTTTTGCTTAAGGCATTTTGAGTTGGGCTTCAGTCATTTACAACCAAAGCAGTCTTCACAAAGATGTGGTGGTGGGCAGGAGACCCCTCTGCCCTGAAAGGTCTGGGGTGGCCCTGTGCTGCCCCAAGGAGGGCTCACCAGTGATCACTCAGGTGGGGGCAGATCAGAAAATGATCGATCTGGGTTGAATCCTCAGAGATTGGGAGGGGTGGATGCCTAGCACATAGTGCTCCATACTCAGCAAGCGTTTATGGAATGAAAGGATGTATTTCCTCCTGGGTCAGAGAGATGTGGGGTCCAGAAAGGTGGCAAAGGGAAGGGGGCTACCTGAGCATGCAGGGACGCGGGGCAGAGCGTTGGTATATGATTGTCGTAGTACACGAGAGCTACAGACAGGGGCCCAGAACATCTGAAAAGGCTCTGTTGGGGGTTCGATGCATGTAGGGCCAAAGAGGTGCAAGGCTGGCACCCAGGGTCAAGGCCACCCAAGAAAGCTATCCTGTGAGGCCCCTGCAAAGGAGTCAGAGCCTGAGCTGAGGTCAAGGGTTTCCACGGGTGAAGGAGTAACTTTGTGGCCTGGCTTCAAAGGGGAAGTGAATGCATATTTATCAAGTGCCCCACCAGATGCCAGCATTATCATCGCCATTGTACAGATGAGGACACCGAGGCTCAGCAGTTAGGGCACTTGACGCCCTGGCCTGACATGAATAATTCTGGCTGTGGGTTAAGACAATCCTCAGAAATCAAGAACCATTTTTCTACTTCTTTGGTGCTTCTGCAGCTCTGTGGCCCGGTACACAGAGCATGGATGGATGGATCCACAATCAAACCTCCGTGAGCCCTCAGTCAAGTTGCGAGATGTAGGCACACGGACAAACAGTGACAACTCGGGTTAGCGACAGGCAACAGAGGACCGTGTGAGGGACTGTAGGCTCTGGGGCGGGTGTGCTGTATGAGGGGTGGGGGAGGCCAGAAGCTGCTGAAGGCTGCGCAGGACTTAGGGCAGATGGGCAGAGGGAGGGGCAATCAGCATGTACAAAGCCCTAACGCCCCACCCAGGAATCGGCAGTTGGCAGTGCCACGTGTCGAGGGCTTAAGGAACCCGAGGATGGGTGGCAGGGCTGTGAGGCCAGGGACGCGCCCCAGGGCCTTGTGGGTCTCCTCAGGGAGTGTGGCCTTTCTCTGGTAGTTGGTAGATGGTGTGGACCCACGGATGGGTTCTGAGATGGGTTGGGGGTGGAAGACAGGGGATGCGCTTTAGGAAGCTGATGGTGGGTAGTGGGCAAAGGCAAAAGCCTGAGGCTGGGACTCCTGAGGCAACTGGGGCAACAGTTCCAGTGAAAGGATGAAGCCACGACAGAGGCAGTGGCAGCAATGAAGAACAAGGCAGGGGTAACCCCAGGACCTTGGGGCCTGACTGCCTAGGAGGCTGTGATGAAACAGCACCCCAAGAGCCTGTGGCTTCTAGCTACCGGGGCCAGAGACAGTGAGGGGAGCTGGGCTAGGCGGAGGGCAACAGGGGGCCTGCCCAGGGCCATCCTGGGGCAGGTGGATTTGGGGGCCAGCCCAGAAGACGGGCGCGCCTGTACGGGGATGGGGGGGCTGCCGCGAGGGGGTGCGGGAAGGAGGGGGCCCTCCCCGGGTTGCGCCGAGCCTGGCCGAGCCAGCGCCAGCTGAACCGTCCCCAATATTAATGACGGGAGAGAGGGCGAGGGGGCAGGAAATCGGAGCCGGCTCCTGTGGAAGCGGTGACTCAGCGGCCAGCCGGCGGGCGGGCGGGCGGTGGGCGGCCGGCGGCGGGGAGCGGGGCTGCTCTTTTGACCCCAGCGCGGCCCCCCTGGGGTCAAGCTGCCGGGAAGCGCGCAGACCGGAGGGAGGGGCGCGCGGGCACCGGGCACTGCGGACTGCCGCGCGCCCCCCCTGCAAGCCGCGAGTCAAGGAAGCCGAGCGTCCAGCCGCAGGCAGGTTGGGCCTGGGAGGCGGCCCGGGCGGGCAGGAGAACAAAGCGCCTGACGCGGGGCCGGGCCGCGCCGCCACAGGAAACGCACGGCCAGGCCAGGGGACCCGGCGCCCGGCCCGCCCGCCGCCCCTGCCCCGATCCCCTCGCCGGCCGGCCGCCCCGGGACGCGGAAAGTGAATCACTAATTAAAACCACTCCTCGGCATCCCGGAGCCACGCTCTGCGGATTACTATTCTTGTGCTCCCCGAGCAGAAGCTTCAGTTGGTGAGGGCAGTGCGGCTGGAACCTCTGCCTTCCAGACCGGGCTTGGGATCCCGCGCCGCTCTAGTGTGGGACCTGGGACAAAGTGCCTCGGACGGCGCCAAGCCTCAGCTTTCTCCTCTGCGAAATGGGGATGGTAGTGGTAGCGACCTCATGGGATTATTTGGGAGCATTTTTGCACAGTGCCTGGCAGAAAGTAGGTGCTCAGTTAGCAGAAGCTACTGGTAGTGTTATTGTTAACAAATAAGAAGCAATGGTACCCTGGCTCAAGTCCCTGGCCTGTTGCACTCTCCCCAGCCACTAGGGCGTGGAGGAGGGGAAGAGGGAGAAGATTTGGGGGATTCAGGAAAACAAAACCATGGCTTAAAACAGGAATTGGGGCCCTGCTTCCTCCTCCCAAGACCGTGTAATAAATGCAAATCACCAGCCAGGGCCTTGCACATGAGCAGGAAGAGCCATCCTCCTTAGAATCAGGATCTACCCTGCACCCCTCACTCCACCTGCCCAACAGAACCATTTTACAAGTTAGATATGGGGGTGAGTAGGGGCCCGGCAAAGGGAAGAGAACACAGGGCATGAGCACCAGGTAGCTACTTGCCAGTAACACCTTCCCCTGGAGCACCCAAAGGAAGCAAGTGTATGAACTTCACAAACAGGCACACCCAGGAAAAAAGGGGGACACCAAGAAGCACCCGTGGAAACTCAGAGCCCCAGGCATGTGGGTCCACCCCCCCCAATACCCACACGCCACCCTAATTTGTTACATGCAGCTCTGTTGCCTATTCCAAAGTAACAAAATCTTCCTGAAATGCTAGAACCATAAGGCCCAGCGCTGAGGAGGCAGCATGGTCCAGGCTTCTCTGCAAAGCCCTGGCGATTGTTCAACCAATGCTGTGGCCCCAGCCCTCGGCCTGCCACTTCCCTGTTCTCAGTCAGCAGACACATGCAGGCAGGGAGCCCCTGAGCCCCTCGGGGTCCACATCCAGCAGGAGAGATCAGGACCCTGCATGCTCCCCAAGGTCATGGCCACGGATACCTCGGCCTGGCAGGCTGTGATGTGGGGGCAGAGAAGGGGCTAAAGGAAGAGATTACAGTCAGAATCTCTCTCTCTCTCTCTCACACACACACACACACACACACTCACACACACACACTCACCGGGCTTGTTTTCCATTTGGGGCTGACAAGGCCCTGAACACCCTGTTCCAGCTACCCCGTGTTACCAGGGGGAACCCTCCCGAATACCCTGGGAATTCCAGACCATCACTCACCTTCCCCACGAGCTTGCCTTTCCGGTTCATGCACAGGTAGAATTCCGTCTCCTTGCCCTTGATCCGGACTTGACTACCGAAGGTGTCTGTCTCCACTAGGAGCTGGGCTTAGAAAGGCAGGAGAACAAGACACATTTTTTTTACCAGGGGCAATGGTTTGGCTGAAAGGCTCAGCGACACAATCCCTGACCCTGTCCCTGGACCCCCTCACTGCTCCAACACTGGGCATGGGGGAGGCTTTGAACAGGTCTCCTTGGGGCACGCTGCCCCTTGGGTAGCCAGAGAAGCCTTCCGTCCTGTGTTCTCCACCCCCAGCCTCTCTTTGACTCCACTTGGGACCTACGTGGCGCCAGCTGGAGGGTTGTTCTGCCCCTTGTGGCTAAAGACCAGTGTGTTCCCCCTCACCCACCCCACCAGCCCCTTATCTCTGTTCCCTGGAACAGGACACACAGGCACCAATAACCCCAGAGAAGTAGCAGTCTCTAGAATGAGGGCACAGAAAAACCCTGTGAGTTTGCACGGGCTCGCTCACACCCTGCCGGGGGGTCTCAAGCTACTTCCTCCAAAATTTAGGTCAAAGACCCCCTCCCTCCAGGGCAAACATGTAGAACCCCTTCTATGTCCCCTCTCCACGCCACACCTTTGTAACTTAAAGTGGGGAAGGCCCAGAGAGGGGAGGTTTAAGGCCCCGGGAATGGAGGCTATCTTCAGAATATTCTACTTTGCTCATTCAAGGCCACCGAGGCTGAAACATAGCAAACTTCCAGGAGCCCAGAAGTCCCAATCAGGACCCAATGTTCCCTGGTTCGAAGCAGGAGACCCCACACTAAACGACCCACTCTCCATAGAACCTCCCTTAGGAGAGGGTGGTGTCCAGAGCTGCTCCCCCAAAGCCCTGACTGAGCAAGGGTGTCAGATCGTCAAAGGGTGACTGTCCCTTGATTAGGCATGCTGTGCCTAATCCCTGTCCCTCTGCCAATCCACTTCTTCTCCCCAGTAAGGTGCTGTGTGACTTCAGTAGGCCACACACACTCTCTGAGCTCTCTCTCCTCTCTGGCCTGGAGTTCCTATGCCTGGTCCCCTCCCCAACACCCCCTCCCACCGCTGCCTTCTTTGCCTATGACTCCCCCATTCTCACCTCCCATCTCTGACCCTTTGCTTCCCAGCACCTGCCCCTCCCTCACCCACAAACTTTTAATTTCAGTGACAAGGGACTTACTTGCTTCTCCATAACAAAAATCATAGCCCTAAATAGGGCATCCTTGGAGCCACAAAGCGTGTACCTCGGTGCCCCTAAAATACACTAGGTATGATTTTAATAAAAAAAAATTAAAAATATATACCCTGGTGCCCTGCTGTGAAAATTAAAACCATCTGGAACTCAGGATTTCCAATAATTAATGTAGCCTTCCTCTGACACCACTACTAATTAAAATATGATACCCCACCTTTCCAAGGAAAATAAGAAGAATTTACATAAAATTTAAAGATCTAACAAGAATTTAGTAATTCTAGAAACAGGGAGGGAGGGGGAGGCACATTCTTCTCTCCACCTTCCCCCATCCCTAGTAAACACAGTCAAGAAAATTAAGCAACAGTGAGATAGGGGGTTACAAGCCCCGCATCCTCCCTGCTCCCCTTTAATTCAAACTCCCTGTAACTCTCCCTGGGAACCCAGGGCCAAACATCAGAGCAGCCTGGGGCTTGCTTTCTGTGTCTCCTCGAAATGCTCAGGCACCACACAGGACGGAGGTCATGGGGTTCAGGAGTGTCCCCCATCCCAAGGGGGTGAAGAAGACAGCACATGTAAGGGAAAGGTGAGAGCTTTGGAACGCGCAGATCTGGGAATGAAATCCCGGCTCCACTTGCCAACCACATGTTCTTGGGCCTCAGTTTCCTCACCTGTAAAATGGGTATAATCATCCTCAATCTTCAAAAGGTATTGTGAGGATTCCACAAAAGGAAGGCAGAAAGGGCCTAGCACCTGTTCTCAGAGGCCAGGTGAGGGAAATAACTATTGTGTTAAGTTTTGTAATAACTGCAAAACTAAACCCTTTTTCCCTACACACACACACACACACACACACACACACACACACAGCATAGTGGGAAAAAATCAGATGTGTGTAAAAGGGCAGAAGTAGAGCCAAACTTGTCTTCCCAGGCATGCCTTCTGACCTGAACTTCTTCAGCATCCTCCAGGGTCACGGGCATCCCACCCTGCGAAGTGCATCAGAACATGCGTTGGGCTGGGACTTATGGGGTCTGATTCCATTTCATGCTGGGCTGTGTGACCTTGAGCCAGGCACGCCACCTCCCCCCAGCCTCAATCTCCTGACCTGTGCAAGGGGGAAGGGGAGGCTCACCCCTATTCTGATTCTCTCTGGGATTGGGACAGAGCCTAGGAGAGGGGTAAGGATGGGAGACTATAGAAAGGGGCTCAGACCCCAGGACTATGGCCCAAGAAAGCCCAAGTGAGTCTGAGGGGAAGTCTGTCCCTCTCCCAGCATATGCCTGGACCTCTGTCCCCAGAACAGTTCCTACCATTCTGGCTCCCACGTGAGCCCACTGAAATTTATACTTCACCTTGAGCTTGGGTGATTTTGTCCCCATTTTATAGTTTAGGAAACTGAGGTTCAGAGAAGCAACCCAGCAGGAGGGGCTGCCATCAGGTCTGCCTAATTTTCTGCTGGGGCCTGGGCATTAGGGGAGGGCCCCCAAATCTGGGAAGATGTAGTCCTCTGCCCCCCGCCAATCCCTCAATGCTCATCAGTCACAGCCTACCACAGATAGCTGCCCTCGCCCCAGCATGGGGAAGGTCTGCTCCAGATGCCATGCCGGGGAGCCAGCAGTCTGTTCTTCCCGACCGCAGCAGGCCTCGCAGTGACCTAGACTCCACTTGGGTGCATGACATAATGAGGAGGGAGCTGGGCCAGAATTATGTAAAGTCTGCGGGGAGTAATAGAGGCAGCAGTTCTCAGAAAGAGAGAGAAAAAGAGAGAGAGATAGATGGAGAGAGATGGAGAGAGAGACCCCCCCCCCGCCACCCAGGCCAGGTTTGCTCCACAGCCTACTTCGTCCACAGCATCATGGCCCCCCTGCTCATGACCCAAGCCCCCAACATGCAACTCTCAGGAGCTCAGAAACCTCAGCTGGGCTCAGTTCCATTCTCAAGGCCTGTACCAGGTCAGGCAGGAGGAGTCTGGGAAGTTATCTGGCTCCACTCCTCATCACACCTCCTCTCTAGGCATCCCCTCCAGACTGCAAAACTCAGCAGCCTCCTCTCTCTGCCAGAGAGATCCTTTAAAAATATAAAATTAATTTTATCTCTTTCCTGCTAAAAGCCTCCTAGGGATCTCCAACCCAAATAAAATCTAGCCTCTTCATGGGGACCCAGATGGTGCACATGTTCCGGCCCCTACTGATCCTTCCTACATCCCACCCTCACTCACAGCCCTCCAGCCAACAAGCCTCTTTGCTGTTCTCTCTGACACACCACGCACACTCCTGCCTCAGGGCCTTTGCCCTTGCTACTCCCTCTACCTGGAGGCTGCCTTGCCTAGAGCTTCCCATAGAGGCTTCTCTTCTCTTAGGTTGCTACTCAAATGTCAACTCCTCAGAGAGGCCTTTCCTGGCTACACCGTCCAATGTCTTACCGCCCTCCCCAGGCCAGCTCTACCCACCCCTGCTCCATTTGCCTCAGAGCTCTTCTCCAGATGGTCTTAGTTGCTATCTTTTTTTTTTTTTTATTATCTGTCTCTCTCCACCGGAAGGTAAGCTCCACTACAGCAGGGCCTTATCTGTCTTATACACCCCTGTGATTTCTAGAGCCTAGCCCATATCTGGCTCACAGCAAATGACCAACAAGTAAATTTTAGTAAATGCATAAATGGCTTTGTGAGGTAGATATGAGTAACACTATTTAAGGTAAGAGTTAAAGAAAACAAGATTCAGGGAGGTAAAGGGACTTGCCCAAGGGCACACAGCTGGTCAAAGCAGGGCAGATGTTGGGACCCAGTCTGACTCCACAGTCAATGCCCTTGGCCACTCCGCTCCCCACTGGCCGGTGCTACTCCTTCCACTCACAAGAACTCTGAGCTCCTCCCCACCTGTCCCCAGCCTCAGGATTATTATCACATCTTCCGACTTGCCACGTGACAGAGGGGAAAACCCTGTTCCTCTCCGGGCCAGGCCTAGGTGACCTCCAAGGCCCCTTTCAGTTCTGCCCCTCTAGAAATATTATCAGTAATCTCCATTTATTTAGAGCTTATGATGTAGTGGGCACTATACGCATTCTGTCACTCACAATATCCTCATAATAATCCCACAAGGTGAGAACTGTTATTATCATCCCCATGTTACAGGTGAGAAAACTGAGTCCCAAAGTTACACGGTGATGGAGTTCAAACCCAGGCAGCCTAGCCCAGAAGTCTTGGTCTTATCTTGTCCACCACTCCCTTTACCTTCCCTCTGCATCAGTCCCTTCCCTGGGGGAGTAAGCGAGTAAACACCAAAGGCGGGGAAGGTCTTTGCTTTGACCTCACTTTCTTGATGCAGAGGGACTATTGGTAGAGATGCCCACAGTGCCCTTTCTACAAAAAATTCGTGCTGCCTTTTTTCTTCCCTATTTTTCTTAAATGCTTGAAGTGACAATGATAATTTAAAAATCCCAACAAATACTTATTTGAGCATTTACCATCTGTAGGCACAGTGCTTAGTCTGAATGTGCAGTGCCTCATGAGATGCTCACAATCCTATGAGGTAAGGACTATAACACCTATTTTATAGATGAAGAAACTGAGGCACTGAGCAGATAAGTTACATGCCCAGAGCCACAGAGTAGGGCTGGGATTGGAACACTGGCAGAGTAACTCCAGAGCTAGTCTGAGAAAGACAGAGATTCCGAGGTAGGCAGAAGGGGACAGATACCCTGCAGGCCAGCCACGGCGGGAAAAGGGAAGTGACATTGATTGACTGAACTGATTGACTGACTCCAGTGTGACTCCCTACCTGGGCCTCCCAGCATGTGATCCAGGGCCTCACTTTGAAGACTTTTGGTTTGAAGCATAGGCAACAGCAGGGAAAGACACAGAGAGGCAGCCAAAAA